TAGTTCCAGCTCCTGCCAACCTAGCAGTTCGAAAGCAAGAAATTGCAAGTAGATAAATAGGTACCACTTCGGTGGGAAGGTAACAGCGTTCCGTGCGCCTTGGTGTTTAGTCATGCCGGCCACATGACCACGGAAACGTCTTCGGACAGCGCTGGCTCTTCGGCTTTGAAACGGAGATGAGCACCGCAACCCTAGAGTCGGATTCGACTGGCTTTCGAGCAAGGGAACCTTTACCTTTACCTTACCCTAATGAAATCAAAAAAGCAACAAGAAAGACAGACTGTCATCACTTAGAGCAAACAATTAGAACCTAGCAACTAGAGTGAAAATGTTTAGGGAGGAGTACCTGGTTACAATTGCACAGATCCTTGGTAAACTATTGCTGATTGATATAAGATGTAAAATCCATACTTTGATTCATGCTGTAAGGATATGTTTTAAAATCATAAATGAATCTAGATTCTTTTTGTAATAGGACCTGTTCAATGTTTTGTATTTGAAAGGGCTTTTATTGATGGCAGTACAGAATTATAAACTTCATTTCATTCACATTGTGACCTGCCTGCATGTCATGCCCAACCATTGGTGAATTTTCAGCAGCATTATTCACTCTTGGCTGGTGTTCCTGATTGCCCTAGTTGTCATGCCGACATATTTTAACCCACATGGACAAACAGAAAGGTAGATTGCATTCTTTGTGGCGCAGGTTGCAGTAAAATTAAAGTTATACAGAATCCCTGTGTCTTTATCAGTGTAGCTGCTACCTTCTACCATATGCTGACAAGCCTTACAATGTCTGCACTTAAGGAACCCTTTTAGATTAGTTGCAGGTGTGCTGTCCTTAAAGGAGTCAGATATAACTAAAGTATTTCTCAGTTTTTTTCCTCTGTGTAAACCTATATATGGTGGCAACTGACAGCCTGGAATATGTGAAACTATATGCCAGTGTCTAAAGATTGATCTTCTAATTTGATTAGAAATGCTAGAGAATTGGAAGCCACATGCAATTCTTCCTGTAGATTTTTTGCTCCTATATTTCAAGAGCACCTCCCTTGCAACATGCTCTGACCGGGCTCTGGCCTGTTTAATCGTCCTAAAAGGATAGCCTCTCTTTTTGAATTGTTTGTCTAGTAAATCTGCTTCAGCAACAAAATCTTGTGGCATAGATGCATTTCTTTTGGCCCGTATAAATTGTCCACAGGATAAATTATAACGTAATTTATGTGGATGGAAGGATGTGAAATATAATTAGGAATTTCTATCAATTGTCTTGTGATATGGCTTGACCATTAACCTACCCTGATTCACATATATTGTGGTCTCCAAAAAAATTGATAAACTGCTGACTATAATGAATATCAAACTTTATGCTGTCATGTAATGTATTAAGCCACTGATGGAACTGGTTTAAGCATATATTGCCCTGCACTAACAAAAAAATATAATCAATAAGCCTCAAATACTTTTGGATATTAAGAAAAAAAGGGTTTACAGATGCTCAAAAAACAGAATCACGAAACCGCGGGGAAAATCGGGCAAAGCCGCAGGTCAAAATGCGGCCACGCGACTTCGAGTGGGAAATTGACCAATAGAAGCGGGGCAAGGGGAGGCGTGACCACGGCGCAGCTCTTGTGTGCAATCGGTCCGCGTGAAGGACAGGGTATAAATCCTCCTCCTCCTTCTCTGCAAATGGGCAACATGTATTCATTTATTTCTTTATTTTTAAAATGTATTTATTAGATGTTTTTAGTTGCCACTCACCCGAAGGGTCTCAGGGTGACTTACAACACTTTTTGCATCCCGTTGTCCATTCATTCTCCTCGGCCTCTTTCCTTCCTAGGTTCCTACACATTACGGACTTCGTGGCAAGACCCCAACTCCTCTCGGAGAGGTAAGGTCACATCCCGCCCCTCCAGCCTGTTCTGGCCCCCACCCCGGCTGCCCACCCCTCTCCCAGACAAACCCTGACCTGACCACCTGTCAGTACCCGGTGGAGACTATAATCCCAGTCTCTGCAGCATCCCAAATGCAGGTGAGTTGTGCAGGGAAGGTGGGAGGGTGTTCCCGCCTCCACTTTATCCCACAGGGAGGGGGCGGGAGGGGGAGCCAGGACTCCTGGGTTCCTTTTGCCAGCTCTGGCAGGGGGAGGGGGGTTAGGCGGCCAATATCTGGAGGGACTGTACCTGATATCTGGAGGGACTGTACCACAGAAGAGAGCAGGAAGTTGAGTTGCCTCTTAGCTTCTTTTCCCTTGAAATGGCTCCTAGCCACGGTGAGTGAGGGGAATCTCCACATTCAGAGGCACTAATCCTCTGAATCCCAGAGCAAGGAGGCAACATCCGAGGAAGGCCTCGGCCTCTGTGCCCTGTTGTTGGTCCTCCAAAGGAGCTGGTTGGCCACTGTGTGAGACAGGATGCTGGACTAGAGGGACAACTGGTCTGATCCATCAGGGCCCTTCTTAGGTTCTTATGAAGGCCTCGGCCTCTCTGCCCTGTTGTCGGCCCTCCAGGGGAACTGGCTGGCCGCTGTGTGAGACAGGAGGCTGGGCTAGATGGACCCCTGGTCTGATCCAGCATAGATCTTCTGATGTT